CACAACACCACCCTCCTATTATAGACAAGGTGGTAGAACATAATGTCTGTCATCTGTTAAACTTGTTTGATTATGCATCCACATGTTTATCTTCTTTGCTAGGCCTGGTCCAAGACCTGCAGTCAGACCCTGTGGTCCCTTTCTGTTCATCGATGCCTGGTCTAGAGCAGCACTTTGCTTGGATCCACGTATGCTTTTTCCTGCAGTTGTTTTCAGTATCAACTGCATTGAGTCCAATTCAGAGTGTAAATACTTGTCTGCATATTTGGGTATGAAAATGTTTGGGTGTTCAGAACATTCAGGTGACTGCAGCTAGTATATGAAGAATGTGGAAGTTTGGGTTTATTCTCCGAGTGGGCAAAAGTGGAAGAGGATACCAGAGGGGCGAAATGATTGAAATTCCCTGGGGCCAGAAATTTACATTAAAAAGAAGAGAGAACCAAGAACCCTCTACCTCCTTGCTGCTAATTGACTCCTTCAGGCTCTCTGAGGTGGAAATATTGCATGCCGATATAGCGCAAGTAAGGGAAATGTATGTTAGGGAAGTCTAGAGCACATGATGCATGAAAAAAGGCTGAGGGAAACTGGTTTGTTCAGCCTCCAGAAGAAAAGGTGAACGGGAGATCATATTGCTGTCTTCAACTTCCTAATGGGAGGGCAGAGAGGAGACAGAACCAGACTCTTCTTTAAGGTAAGCAGGGATAGGAAAAGAAGCAACAACCACAATTTGCAAGACAGGACATCCCGGTTTGAGACTGGAAAAGAAAATTTCACCACAAGAGTGGTCAAGCACTGGAAGAGGTTGCCCAGAGAAGTTGTGAGTCTCCATCCTGGGAGATGCTCAACATAGACTGGAAAGGGCCTTGAGCAACCTGAGCAAATCTAACCTACTCTGAGTGAGAGGTTGGACCAGATGACTTTGAAAAGTCCCTTCCAACTGAAATAGTTCTGTGAATCTATAGCTTTTATTCAGTTGGTCTGTGAGGTATGGGGATTGACTGGGTGCATTACTGTTTGGGCAGGTGAGGTCTAGGGGAAGAAGAGTGTTTAGAAATACCATTTAATTTATATAGGCTCCTTAAACTTTATTTGCTTGTGCTGTGGTTTTGAGAGGCTCTATAAGCTGTCTCTCTTCTTCTCTTTTAACTTGAGGATACATGGTTTTCCTGTGTCTGCCGTTAACACTACATGTAAGTGCATCCGTGTTGAGATTGATACCTCAAAATCGAGCCTCAGTGCAACAGGAATTGTTAAAAGACTGAACGGGACGTCACTGGTGCACTGAGTGAGCACAGCCAGACACAGGCTTCAAAAGATAGACTCGAATGGCTTGCCTTACGAAGGTCTTGGAGATAGAGTACAAATTAGGATATTTTTATGTATTCTGTCCTAATTATATTCTCATGCTCAGAAAGATTAAAGAAAGAACAAACATGACTTTCTTTTAATAAGAGGTTAATAAGGACATGGGGGAACGGGCACCTACACACTGCTTTCTTCAAACACACAACATGCTGTGATGCATAATATTTCTAAAAATGGGAGAAATGCTGAGATGTTCAGATTGACATTTCAGTGCCTGTCTGATTTCAGTGTCTGTCTGAAATACAGGGTTCAATAATCCTATTATGTGTCTGGCACACTCCTCCTTCTTCAGCAACGTGCCTCCCATAACTGCTGTAATAAGACAGAACAGCCAAAGCCTAATTCTGTGTGCCTCATCCTATCATTCAGCAAAGTTATATCGTCATCAGATGCAATCTATTGTTTTCTTTCCTGCTGTGGTATTGATTTTTCTAACCTTTCCTAATGTTAAATTTGTTTGGCTTTTTAACTTTCTTACCAAAGGTTAATGTTATTAAGTTGAGCAGGTATCTATAAAACTACAAGCATTATTGCCTATCTTGCAATTGTTATACTGTTGTTTCATTAAACCCTGGCTGCACCGGAAAGCTCTGTCTTGAAGATTTTTGTCATTCAGGTGTGATACAGTGAAGGTTGACAAGAACTGCATTTGAATTGTCATCCAATTCTGTGGTATCAAATATTGGATTTCATATGTCAGGAGCAACAGATTTATCTAAAACTCTCTTACCATCAGTGAACATGAACTGCACAGATATTAATTGCAGCGAGGCTGTAGAGAGGATGCAGGAAGATGCGAGTGCTGCTGCCTGTCCTCTTCCCCAGTACAGTCTGACCATGCCAGTCTCTGCCGTTGTGGCAAAAGGAGCAGATCTAAAACCTCTGCCAATTCCAGAACTGGTTATCTGCTTGATGTGGAAAGAGAATGAGAAATCACGGTTTAATTTGAAGGAAGCAGTGGCTTTAATGGTGGAACTCTGTCAACATTTTTCAGTATGATCTACAGCAGTACTTGTATAAAGTGTCAAAGGTGTAGGACAGTGAGTAAACAGTTTCAGGATACCACTGTTAAGCCAGGTTTCAGTTTTAGTTCCTGCTGCCACAGTACCCTCTTAGTATCAATATCACTGGTACCGTAACCTGCCTTTAATGAATTGTGTATTTGACATCCCATTTACACATTTAGATTGCATTTCTGTGACGTGTGTTTGAGGCCGTTTATTGTGAATATGTGCAAAAGACAATAGCAGGGCTGAACATAGGATGTCTATGTGTGGTGCATCATGGCTTTCTTCTGGAGCTGTGGTAAATGACCTACGGTGCTCTCCAGCCACCATGCTGAAGTTATCTTGCCTTGGTAGTACCTTGTAGTTGCTCTGAAATATTTTTCTTATCAAAGAACATCCTGAGAAGCTAGGCAAGAGCTAACCTCAAGTGAAATGTTTTTAATAGTAGAAAGCATAAAATAATAAATAATAAAGTAATTTAAGCTGTTGTAGATCATCACTTAAAAAAAAAAAAACAACCAGATAATTTGGTCTTCCCTGGGTGCAAAGCAGAATTGCAGCCTACCTGCAGCTGCCAAAACGTGACTGTCCAAGGAGATCAGGCTTGTTAGTGACTACAGGAAGGAGTATTTCAAAGTGCTGGGGGAGAGTGGGGGTTAAATCTTTTATTTATAAATTGGTACCTATGAAGCACTTACTTCTGCCAGCGCTGTGAAGCCAAGGAATGGCCCTGGCAAAAGATAAAAAGACCTTCTTCTCTACTGCTAATTTAAGAGCTGGTTATTCAGGTTCTGTCTCTTCTCCCGTGCTCAGCAGTAGCTGTCCCTGCCATTGATTTAGTCTTCATCTGTCACGTTCTCGTGCTGTTCAAAGGCTGGGGAGGTTCTGTCTGTTCACAGTTTCTCACAGCTTGGTCTCTCTTGCCACTATCAATGCCGATAACGAGACTGAGAGCACCCCATTCTTGGTGAATGAGACATCTTTTCATTTAGAGTGGCTTTGATTAACAAATTCCCTTCAGTAGTTTTCAGATCCAATTGTGAGCTTTCTGGGTGGGCCTGAACATCCCTATAACTTTCTTGGGCTTCCTTGGTGTCTCTGGCTGGCATCGCACAACTCACATGTTCATTACAGACTCCAGATGGCGTGTCCCTTCTCCCCCTGCCAGTTTTATGTTTTGGTCTTTCCTGGTGAAGACTGGAGACATGGCAGCTCTTCAAGTTGTTTGACGCTTAGCACTGAGTCCAGGCTCCGGCTGCATTTTCCCTAGCCTCTTTGTGGTGGCAGCAGCACCACTTCTGCAAGGGACGTCTTTGTTTACATGTGCTGTTGCAGCTATATGATGCATCACCTCAGCGGGCCTGGGTATTTAGAGCATATCAGGTGTCAGAAAGGCTACCGCTTTTGACCAGGTTTCCTTTCAGAAGTTTTTGAGGAGGGTGGAGAAGAGGTATAGTAAAAAGCATGCCGTTATCTCCTCCCTTACCTCTTCCACTTCATCCGAATCCCCTACTGCATGATGGTTTTGTTCGGTTTCGTGTGCATTCTGGCTGTGCGGGGAAGCATTTCAGTGATGGTGTATGTCTTCCTATTGGAGGCTCACTGTTTTGTTGCATGCAATCCACTAAAGTCCATCCATGCACTGATCTGAGAAATTTTGTGTTCTGTACCTTTATTTTTACTACTAAGGTAGAGGCAACTTTAACATTTTGGGGTTTTTTTCTGATGTAACAAAATAATGTACTTTATACACACAGGCACACATACAAAGATTCTGTAGTCTGAATGCTTTTCTCTTATCAGTTGTTATTGTGTATAGCAGAAACATAAAATCTGTCAGATAAAGACAAAGCTAGGAGGCTTTTAAGGGGACCTTGAAGTGGTAGGAGAGGGAACCTCTAAATCCAGCGTGTATGGTTCTTATTTTAATTTACGATGCTGTATTGGGTATTTTGTATCCTTGAAACCTCTTTGAATAGTGACTTTGTGGTAGATATACTCCACTTTTCCTTACTCAGCTTTTTATCAGAGGCTTAGGAATTGCTTTTGCTTTCAATTAAGAAATCCGAACTCCTGCTCTTCTCCACTTTAACATGCTCTCATCCATATTACCCCACTGCAAGGAAACTGTTGTTGTATCACTGCAAATTAACTAGTACAACTGCACTGGTTCCGGGAAGCTTGAACATTTTTGTATGCTTACATTTATACACATTTGAATATACGTAGCAGAAACGTAGTAACTGTAGCACCAGAGAGGACAGTCATTTTCCTGGAACCTGATCCTGGAAGTTACTGATCACCCAGGGCTCACTACACCATAACTTGTCCATCCAGCAGAGCATCGTAGAACATGCTTATCCAAACTCACAAATGTACTCTATGGGTTTTGAATATCTACTCCTGTGCCTATCAAACTGCTGTTTCGTAATAATTTGTTCAGCTGGGACCTATGATCTTTGGGCTCTGCAAAGTTAATAGTCTTTTACTTAATTCTGCATCTCCATGCAGACTCTTAAAGAGTTTGTTGACTGCAGTTAATTTCACCAAAGACAGCATTAGTTCTCGAAATTGAAAGATGACTGACGTTATTTTTTTTCCCTTTCTGTTTTGCTGCTTCTTCACTAGGGATGTGAGTTAATTGAGACCATGGATCAGGACCTCACAGATTTCACCAAGTGCCTTCAGATACTCCAGAAAAAGATAGAGAAGAAGGGCCTCCAGGTAAAGGCAACACATCTTTGGTTCTTAGTAATTACTCTTCCTCTCAATGTATTTAGGTTTATGTTTTAAGTTTGCACTGAAATGAAACAATATTTTCTGTAGCCTTGCCATTCTGTGGTTTTGCCATAATTTACTGCACACCTTGTAAGCATTGATGCTTCTGCTAAAAGGAATTACAGTGTAAGGTGTTGAACAAGCACTGGCTTTCTTAAAAGGCAGCTTGTATTGATTTCTGTTAATGAACTACCTAAAGTGCAGAAGAGCTGTTGTGGCTGGTGTTCAAAGGAAGAGTCCCACTTTGGCATGTAAATATATTTTCAAGTCTTGGCACACTGAACCTTGATGTTCATCTCCTTCCTCTCCCCTCCCAAAGGTGAGACGGGAGGGGGAATCTTATCCTGCCAGTGTTACATACGGTAAGCAATACCTCCTTCTGCAAAAGGTTCCCCTGGAATCAAAGGGAACCTTTGCAGGGCAAGCAGTGCACTAAACTTAAAAGGAGCCATATGGAGTTGTCAGCTGCTCATTTCATTGGAAAGGTGAAGAAGGCAACGTTCCCCCTCCCCTTCCACATTTTGGTTTCAGAGGCCCGCTTGTTTTGTCTCTCTAAGATGCGAAGTTAAAATTCCTTGGGAATTTCCAACATGATGAGTCGATGGCAGATGTGCTCTTGGGATTGCTCCCCTTTCCCCCCCATGCAGCAGTCATTCGTAAGGGCTGAACTCTCTTTTCTGCTCTGTACCTACAGGTGAAAGGGATTGAGAGGAAACAGCTGCTGCATCCTTTTACCAACAGTGAGGGCAAGACTCATGTAAGGAAATGAAAAAAACAGCACAAGATGGAAGGAGATGCGTAAAGCTCCTCTTTTCCCATTTTCATTGTAGCAGGATAGGAAAGTTGCCCTACTTCCTGAGATCACTGTACTCCAACAAAGTAGCAAGAGATGGAGATGCCAATACCACTCCCTCTTTCTTCTCTCCTCACTCCAGGCTGATAAATAATTAACCAGTTTTTGCTTAAGCTATTTTGAAATGTCTTGATCTTCTAAAGGAAATATATGTCCATGGGGCATTTCAGAGTGCTGTCACACAATGGCCATCTGCAGTTGCGTCTCCTCTTGCCGCCCTCAATGCATACTGTTGTTCATGAGGTTTTTTCCCCCATCAGTATAGACAGAGATGGGAGAGTTTCTCCATACACTTCTCTTATCTGGCTGTGAGCGAGGAAACTCCTTATATGATAATTTTTTTTTTTGCCTATAATTTATCATCACAAGAGCACAGAGGGGTGTCTTGCCATCTAGGACACGAATGATAATGAGCGCCGTCAGAACAGAGGAGCCACCTATGTCTAGGATTTGTTTTGATTTTGGCAAGTAAGGTGCTTCTCTCGTAACAGAATTACCCTTAGAATGAAGGAGAACTTGAGTGTTTCCTGGACTCGGTTCATTATCAAATCCCAGCTATTGCTGTAGAGGGATTTTTTTTAAGCTATCACAAGAGGTTTTATAATAAATAATCAATGTGTGGTTAAAATAAGAGCAATGGGAACATGACAGCTACAGATGTGTTTCAACAATAAGTAGCCTATTTGTAAAACTTTGAATTCTTTGATCACTCTCCTAGGTAAAGCCCTGTTAAGTTGGCTAAAGGATACTGCGTTGTAACAAGCCAGAGTGTAATTGCAGTAATTGTGTAGAGTTCATGCCAATGTACTAAACCTAAGATTTCAGTTCAGTTATATTTTCATGCTGTTATAGGTAAGATGTGCTTTAAATACAATCTGAGTTTTTCAGAGGTGCAAGAAGTAATACAGAAATGTTTTCTAAAACTAAGTACCATGTTCTTAAGTCCTAGCTGCTTCTTGCTTGCAGTGTCTGTTCCATAAAACATAATAAGATGCTATCAGCTGATTCATGCACACTAGCTAAAGCATACATTTCCTTTTTTGGTCTTCTGCATTTTCTGACATAAGGAGTTTCAAGTCATTGATTCAACTTAGGCAAATAATATGTGAAACTTAAGCAAAAGGAACCCAAAATTATATCACAACTGTATAAATTACTAGTTTAGGTTCCAATTTGCTCTTTGTTCTGAAGCATTAGGTATAATTTGTTAGTAGGAAGCTTGGTGATTCTTCTGGATGTCCTGATAATGCAGTGCTTAGCTTGATGCCTGTTCCCCCAGTAACCCAGAGATTCTGAGCACTTGCAACATATACTGGCCTCAGTTTATGGATGCAACCACTTGGCCTTTCTGAAACTCTAGCCTCTTTAAATACCTAAATCTGCACTTAATTTAGGTGTCTTTACGAGTAACATTCTGGCATAAAAATGTCAAGTTGTAAGAAAACAGGCTGTTGAAGCCATAGATCTAAAATCTTCAAGGAGAACACAAATCTCTTCAGAGAAGAAAGCTGCCATTGAATTCTGTGGTCACCTGGGAAGTACATACAGCTGAGAAGAAAGGAAGGTCTGGGGTCTGAAAACTAGCAGTGGATAGAGAAGGGGTTCTTCATTTGCATTTGCATTTTTGGCCTGAAGTACAAACTTGCATGTGACAATGGTTTTTTTTTTTCCTTCTGGAAAAAATATCATAAAAGCTTTCCTTTTAACTGAGAGTATTAACTAGGTGGAATATGTCTTCCCAGTTCCAGGAAAAATATGTGTCTCCAGCTTTGATTTTTACCCACTCTGTCTAGCTTATTCAGAGCACTTGTCAAAGAGGAATATGACAAAAGAGACACTACAAATCTGTTTCCCCATGATTTATCGTTGAAGTTACTAAACAAGGAAAATATCTCTTTAGTATCTTTAAAAAAAAATTGATACCACGGTCATGCTGTGTTTGCTGCTCTTTCTGGGTAGCAATATGTTAAGCTAGGAAATTAATTACATTCAATGTATACCATGGATCCACAATCCTGTGACATAGTTTGTCTGGATGAAATTCAACTGTGGGGAGCTGATGTATTTGAAACAGATGTTCGTCCGTTGGTTAGAGAATAAATTGTCATTTATCTGCTGTACTGAACGGATAAAATTTCTACTCTGATCTATCAGTCACCTCTATGGAGGTTCTATGTCAAGGAGGTTTTTGAGCTCACGTGAACATATGGGGGCAATATTTTGTTCCAAAGGAATTAAGTTTGTGTAATTTACTTTCCATGTCTCTGCACCTCCGTCATCCTCCTCCTCTTCCTTCCTGCTCACCCAAATAGCTTTTGAACAAATAATTTTAGAACAGAGGAACAGAGTACTGAAAGATAATCATGTCGAACAGCTTTCTTAGAGGTTACCTGTGTGGGAGTGAAGGTGAGATAGACACTCAGTGCCCCCACTGGAGAGAAGGCTGCAAGTTAGTTTAGATCTGACTGGTTGTTGGAGAATACAGTTTGAGAAGAGGCCTTAGAAATGCCTTTACTACAAGGAAAGATGCAATTGGAGTTGACGGTCAACTGAGACACAAATCTGGGAGAAAAAACACCTTGTTAGTTCTTGAACTCCTTGTTTGATATAAACAGCAGTAATTCTGTCTTCTAGAATAATTAGCCAAATTCATAACTGTTTTTTCTTTATGTCTCAAATAAAAACTCTTAGAATAGTTTCTGAATCCTCAGGGTCATTAATTTCTGGTTTACATTGCATATTTGGGTCGCATAGCCAAGTCATGCAGAAAGCAGCATTGGGGTCATTTTGTGATATCTAAGTCACCTAATTATATGTATTTAAAATTACATACTGCAGTAAATGTTAGAACAAGCAGTACTCTTTATGTGTGCCAGCTAGAATCAGTCTTAATTTTTCCTCTCCACAGCCCTAATTCATTTGTGAGTTGCACTGTAGTGGATGGGTGAAGCAGTGAAGTACCACAAACAGAATCTGACTCCTGAAGTTTCTTTCCAACCTAAAGGCTGTTAGATATTTCTCTTCCTCTTTCTGCATGACTGTGAGTATGCATGCACGCACATGCATGTGCATGTATGTATATAAACACAGAAATTTGCTGGCAGTATACCTTCCTGGCCCTATGTGATGCTTTTTTTAATGTCTTTATAACTCTGTCTTTATTTATGCCATGTGTTTCTTTTACGTTGTTTATGGTCTATTGAACACTTAGGTGTGCACATTTTGCTTTACTGCTTTAATCGCTATTTTATCCATTCTGTGGTTATGTGAGTACTTTCCTTTCTTCATTACAAGACCTTCAAGTAAACTTATTTACAGTCATTTCTGTCTGGTACTACTTTCTGGTCTTAATTTTCTCTCATGTAACACAAGCTATTTCAAGAAACCAACTGAACTGGCAAAATGATAGGCATGGTTACAATATCTCTTAGTTAGAGATCAACAGATCTTGCATTAAAAGTGAACATTATTATCTTCCATTTGCAGATGGGAAAGCAGAAGTACAGAAGCAACTTGTCCACAGTCTCCCAGTGTGCTAGTGGTACAGCTGGGGGTGATGGTCCAATTCCCAATGTTCATCAAGTGCTCTTTCCATAACAGTGTCCCTGGTCTGACTCACAGGCAGCTCATAGCAGCTCACGCCAGTGAGAAGTGGAAGCGTGTTTATCAATTATGCAGCTCCATGAAGAATCCTCATAACGTAAAGATAGATTTAAGCCATTATCTCTATCTCAGAGTTCTTTAACTGTTTAATGTAAAATACCATTTACTCTTAAAACTAAGCTCTGGGACTTTTCATTTAACTTTATTATCTTTTCTGCTTAAAAAAAGTTAAAGCAGCTCATTTGGTTATATGGTCTGAAGATATAAAAAATGAATTTTATTGAAACCTACATGCCTTTTAGTGGTTTAATGTTAGTGTGTTTAAATTGATAAAAGCATCAGCGTCAATATGAAAAAGTGAAAAAACCCAAACCAACTCTTCCTAAAAACCCTTTGCAGTAAAGGGATACTATACTAACATTTCCATTTTAAAATTACACTTTAAAGGTTCAATCTGTCAGCAGTCTAGGATATTACTTCTTTTAAGTGA